CTTCCCCTACCGCACTGCCCCTCTCCCCCCACCGCCTATCTTCCTCGCTCCAGGTGCTCCCAAGGTAGACCCCCTCCCCGCTCCCGGTCCTGCTCCTTCAGGTGTGTCTCAGGTAGACCCTCCTCCCTTGACTGCGCCGGTTGAGGTCACTGGTGACTCAGGTCCTGCTGAGGGTGGTCCTGCTCGGGGTACTGCTTCTGGGGGTGCGGAGCCTGGGGGTGCGGAGACTGGAGGTGCTGAGCCTGGGGGTACTGAGTCTGGGGGTACTGCACCTGGGGACGCTGAGGCGTCTGGTGAGCAGTCTCCCTTGGGCGGACGTCTCCGTAATCGCTCTACTGGTACCTCGCCGCTGCACTCTCGTCGTCGACTCCCTCTCTCCCCACAGCAGTTGCGTGAGTGGTACGTTGGCCGTCAGGGTCGCGCTGCTGGAGCTAGGGGCTCTGCTGCGGGAGGCGCTGGTGCTGGTGAATCTGCTACTGGAGTAGTTTCTGCTGGAGGTTCTGGAGCTGCTGCGGGTGCTGGCGCTGGAGGTTCTGGAGCTGCTGCGGGTGCTGGCGCTGGAGGTTCTGGAGCTGCTGTGGGTGCTGGCGCTGGAGGTGCTGGAGCTGCTGCGGGTGCTGGCGCTGAGGGTTCTGAGTCTGCTGTTGCGCGGTCTCCTTGGAGTAGCCGCCTTCGTCCGCGTGTGCCTCTCACCTCACAGCAGCTGCACGACTGGTACGGTCGCCGTCAGGGTCGCGCTTCTGGAGCTCAGGGCTCTACCGCTGGAGGTACTTCTGCTAGCGTCACTGGAGCTGGGAGTGGTGCTGGTCCCGGAGGTGCTCGTACTGGAGGTACTGGAGCTGCTGGGGCTGGAGGTGCTGAGCCTGAGGGTACTACTGCTGGAGACCCTGGGTCTGGGGGTGCTGCTACTGGAGACACTGAGACTGGAGACCCTGGGACTGGAGGTTCCGGTTCTGGGGGTGCTGCTGCTGGTGGAGCTGGTCCTGGACGAGCTGGCGCTGAGGGTTCTGGAGCTGCTGGAGGTGCTGGAGCTGCTGGGGGTGCTGGAGCTGCTGGTGCTGGTGGCGCTGCACAGCCGCGCCTGTTCTTTGCTCCACCGTCTCTGTCGTCTCAGCCACCGTCTGACTCTGTACTTCGCCAGGTTCTTAGTCTCCCTTCGTCTACTGGTCTTCCGTTACAGCCTGGCTCACCGCTGCCTGCTCCTTCTCCTTACACTGTGCAGTCAGGGGGTTTTACTGAGCGTCGTGAGCCTGCGTCGCGTCCTGTCTCACCTGTCCGTTCTGGTCGTCGTGTTCCTCGTTCGCGTCAGCCGGTTGTCCCCGGCACCCACCTCGTAGTTCGTCGTCCTTCCTCTCCTCCGCAGCGTGTTCCCCTGCCGTCCCCCCCTGCGTCTTCTCTGCCTACCATTCCTGAGCCTGAGTCTGACCGCACCCGTGCTGCTCACCCTACTGTCACGCGTCTGCTAGCTACCGTTGTCACTGACCCGTCGTTTGAGTCTTCTGCTGCGTCTGCCTTTGTTGCTGAGCTTGTTGACTTTGCTGCTGCATGTCGTCTAGACAACGCCGCTAGTCTTGTTGCTGAGTCTGAGTCTGTCTGTCCTCCGTCCGTCGGGGGTGAGTGTGCTCTTGGCACGGACGTCTTTGAGGACAGGCAAGAGGACCTTCAGTGTCTTGCAGCCGCTGAGCCTCATCACGTGTCCATGCTGCTTGCCCCTGAGGGAGACCCGGATGCTCTAGACATCCCGACCCCGCGCTCTTACGCTGAGGCGATCGCGGGTGAGTACTCCTCTCAGTGGCAGACAGCCATGGACGCAGAGATGGCATCCTGGAAGTCCACAGGCACCTACGTCGACGAGGTTCCCCCACCTGGGGCGAACATCGTCAGTGGCATGTGGATTTTCAGGGTGAAGCGGCCGCCAGGTTCTCCGCCTGTCTTCAAGGCTCGTTACGTTGCTCGAGGCTTCAGTCAGCGACAGGGAGTTGACTTCTTCCAGACCTTCTCCCCTACTCCGAAGATGACCACTCTTCGGGTGCTGCTGCACGTTGCCGCTCAGCGTGACTACGAGCTTCACTCTCTTGACTTCAGCACAGCTTTCTTGCAGGGCAGCCTGCACGAGGAGATCTGGCTGCGCCGCCCTCCTGGCTTCACTGGGTCGTTTCCTCCTGGTACCCAGTGGAGCCTCCGGCGGCCGGTCTACGGTCTCAGCCAGGCGCCACGTGAGTGGCACGACACACTGGGGACTACACTTGCAGCTCTTGGGTTCGCACCTTCTACTGCTGACCCGTCGCTGTTTCTGCGCACCGACACTTCGCTGCCGCCGTTCTACATCCTCGTGTACGTCGACGACTTTGTCTTTGCCACTGCTGACACTGAGGCTCTCGCCCTGGTGAAGTCGGAGCTGCAGAAGAGACACACGTGCACAGACCTGGGTGAACTGCGCAGCTACCTTAGCTTGCAGATCACCCGGGACAGAGCACGCCGCACCATCACACTGACTCAGTCACACATGGTGCAGCAGGTCCTTCAGCGCTTCGGCTTCACCTGGTCCTCGGCATAGCCGACTCCTCTGGCTACAGGTCACTCGCTCTCAGCTCCACCTTCGGACTAGTCCGTAGAGCCGGGTGGTCCTTACCTAGAGCTAGTTGGCTGCCTCATGTACCTGATGACTTGCACTCGTCCTGACCTCGCGTACCCTCTTGGCCTTCTGGCTCGCTACGTGGCTCCTGGTCGGCACCGAAAGGTGCACATGGATGCTGGTAAGAGAGTACTCCGCTACTTGTGCAGTACATCAGGCATGGGGCTCGTGCTTGGAGGGAGGAGCTCAGTTGTTCTCACTGGGCACTCAGACGCTTCTTGGGTTGACGACCAGGCTACTCAGCGGTCGTCACATGGTTACACCTTCAGCCTTGGCTCTGGTTCAGTTTCTTGGCGTTCTACACGCTCGTCTTCAGTTCTCAGCTCCAGTTGTGAGGCTGAGATCTACGCCACAGCCATGGCTGCACAGGAGTTACGCTGGCTCACCTACCTGCTGACCGACTTGGGAGAGCGGCCTCGTTCTCCTCCAGTGCTGTACGTCGACAACAAGGCTGCCATTGCCTTGTGTGAGGAGCACAAACTGGAGCACAGAACGAAGCACATCGCTCTGCGTTACTTCCTGGCTTGAGAGTTGCAGCAGCGTGGTCAGCTTCGTCTGCGTTACGTGGCCACTTGGGCCAACACTGCTGATATATTCACCAAGGCACTTCAGTCTGGTGATCATCAGCGTTTCTGTACTATGCTAGGGCTTGTGCCCACTTTTCCTCACTTACTGTAGGCTTTGCTTGTACTGTGATCTATATATATATCTACCTGCATGCTTGCTTTGCTAGGTAGAGATCACTGTGATGTTTGTGTTACATATATGCCTCTGCATGTGAACTGGCCTTGTGGCCCTTTGCTTGTGCTCAGTGAGTGTGGTGACGTTGTGATCCACCCTGAGCTTGCTTTGCCTTTCTTGACTGGTCTTGTGACCCTTTGCTCTCCCCCACTTTGCCTATGGGGGTGTGTCAAACATATGTTTATATGTTATAGTTTGGGTAGGCTTTAGTGGGGTACTCACTGTGGGGTACAACCCCTTAGGTTTCACTTTTGTACCAAAACCTTCTCGATTGTTGAACCATCCCTACCACCCTACTCTAACATTGGAGGTATGAAGAGAATTATGTTGAGATGAGCTAGGAAGGAATGAGGATTAGGTAAGAGGGAGGGGGTACAAGAAGTGTCGAGCAATTTACTGTACCCCCTAAGGCTAAACCCACTACAGCCTAGATAACAGTAAACATATAATTTGATAAATTATACTTAGCATTCTCGTAGGTGCAGCAGTATCGCACCCGTCATTATCGAAGCAGCGCTAGCAGCGGTATCGGATCAGCCCGTATCAAGGGCAGGAAGGTCAACAGTCGCAAGAGTCAACTGTTGCGACTGTTGACCATCTAGACCGACGATTGACTTACTATCAAGGAATGGCAACAGGCGTAACCGTACGTACAGGTTACATGCAACGACTCGGTAACAAGAAAGAAGTGCAACAGTCAGAGTCACTGTAGAAATGTCTGTAAAGCAGTTAGAAGAAGGGAATGTACCCCTCAGGGTACATGGCTAGCTAGAACTATTTATTATGTGTGTAATATGTGCTTTAATCAACTTTGTCATCTACATTCACTATGATCAGAGTTCGTACAACAAAGACTTCCGCTACCAAACCCTTCTAAGGCACTCCTATCCTATCCAAGATCCTTACTTTAACACCATGTTTCAGCTATTGATTTTCTTTTATGCATGAAAACATCAGCTCATACTGGTCGAGATGTATTGTATTCCTTATTTGCGAAGGTTTCAACACGACGTACACATGGTTGAATGAAATCCTCTTTTCCCATGATATGGGACGGGAAATGCAAGCAATAGATGTTGTATGCGATTGTTCACCACACGCACATCAAAGGTGATATTGTTGCCAAGTGTCTGCAAAAACTCCAGTGCGTTGAGAATGTTTAGAGTACCATATTGCATGGATAACTGAACAATAAAAATGTCATCTCACTTGACCTACCATAGATCTACTCCTTCCTCTTTCGCTTAGAAAAAAGTTATGCACTGCCATTCTAAGCAGGACAAAACAACCAGCTCTTGCAACCGCAGCTGCTGCCATTTTCAGGTCATCATCACCATCTCAACTGCTGCCACTGCTGTGCTTTGACAGCGCTCACATCAACCCACCCATTCAACCAAGCAGCCAAGGCAACAACCAACCACCTCCCTTTCCTAACCACACCACTCCATGGCGCCACCCTTCCTGAATCGGATGCTCTGGCTCCGCTTCCTGCTTGCTTCAGCGCCCCCACACCAAGCCATGCATGCCATGCCACTCCGCCGCACCACTATTCCTGGTTCGGAACCTCTACCCAAGCTCACCGCATGCACACCACTCCGCCGCACCGCTCCCTTCCCGGACCACACTAATCCGCCGCACCACTCTTCTTGGTTCGGAAGCTCTGCCGAAGCTCACTGAACTTCTTGAAGCACTGCGCCTTGCTCTTGCCGGGCACTGCTGCTGCTATGCGGTCCCACCTGGTATGAAAGAGAGTGGGGCACGAGGGGCATGAGGGGAAGACAAGGTAAAGCGACGACGCAAATATAAAACACTGTGCCTTGCTCTTGCCAAGCACCGGTGCTGCTATGCGGTCCCAACTGGTATGAGGGGCGTGGATGAGAGGCACACAGGGCACGAAAGGCATTTATCAAGCACTGCGCCTTGCTCTTGCCGAGCACTGCTGCTGCAATGCAATCCCACCTGGCATGCAGGGGGACAGGAGCATGAGGGGCACGAGGGGCAAATAAGGTATAGCAACAACACGTCTATCAATCACTGCGCCTTGCTCTTGCCCGGCACCGCTGATGCTATGCGCCACCTGGCACACAGGCATGAGGAGGAAGTGAAATGCGAAGGAAGGAAGGTGGAGGTATGCAAGCACTCCCCGTTTGTCAGTATCATTGGGGAAGGCTTTACGTGCCTTGTGATATAAGGTTGGATTTAAGACGCCTCAAAGCCAGCTCTCACCTCTTATCAGTGTCCTTTGGGAAGGCTTTAAGTGCCTTCACCAGCTCCACTTTTGAGGCATCTCAAAAGAAGGCAAGCGAGCTCTCACTCACCGTTTATCAGTGTCCTTGGGGAAGGCTTTAAGTGCCTTCACCAACGCCACCTCCTGTGCCTCGCCCCACACATCCACTGCCCCTTCTGCCGCAGCAGATGCACCTGCTGCACCTGCCCCAGCAGCACCTGCGCCAGCAGCACCTGCCCCAGCAGCCACACCATTCGCAGCACCTGCAGACTCCCCCACCTGCGGGCCCTTTGCCCCTGTACTAGCCCCTTTGCCTGCCGCCCCCACTCCATTCGCCACTGGCGCTGCTACTGCAGCTGCTGCAGTTGCTGCTGCTGCTTTTGCCCCTGCTTGTTTCCCTGCTTCTGCTGCTGGTGTTGCTGCTGCTGCTGCTCCTCCTGCTCCTGCTGCTTTAGCTGGGGAATTCGACGAGGCAGGAACTGCAGGGGTGGCAGCACCAGCAGCAGCAGCACCAGCGGCAGCAGCAGGAGCCGCAGCGGCAGCATCAAGCTCCTCACGTGTGGAGAGAGGCGACGCAATGTCCTTGGGGTTCTTGCGACGCTGTTGAGGAGGGGTGGGAGTGGTGGGAGTTGGTGGGAGTGGGTGGAATGATTAGCAAGACCTCTCAATAAATCCGAAAATGAGTTGAATAGAGGTGAGGCGAGGCGAGGCGAGGCGAGGCGAGGCGAGGCGAGGCGAGGCGAGGCGCGACAACTATGTTCTTGGATTGAGACATCATCAAAGGTACCATCTGAAGGAACACGAGTGGAGTGGTGACGAACGAGTGGAATGGCGTGATTATTGATTATTGAGTGATTATTGAGACGCCTGAAGAAGGTACCATTCGGAGGAGAGTGGCTAGAGGAAAGGCAATGTGATGCGACAATGTCCTTGGATTGGAGTGGAATGACATCATCAAGTTACAATGTGATAGAAATGAGTGGATTGGAGTGGAATGGAGTGGTGTGGAATCAAGTGGAGTTGAGTGAAGTGGCGCACAGGGGGCCACAAAAGCGGAACACTTGCTGTGCCTGTAGGTGGGAAGAAACCCCGAACCTCAAACCTTGAACCCTGAGCTCTTCCACCCACCCACCCACCTACAAGAAACTATCAAACGCCTTGCTGTCATCTGGTTTCTGCAGCCCCACTGTCTTGGTCGCCCACACCACCTCCTCCCTGCTCCACCTATACCGCACAACCCCCCAAACCCTGAACCTTCAACCCTATACCTTGAACCCGAACCCATGGAGTAAACAGACCCTTAAAGCCCACGCACCTGCAGGAAGCTGTCAAACGCCTTGGTGTCGTCTGGCTTCTGCAGCAGCACCGTCTTGGTCGCCCGCACCACCTCCTCTGCCGACCGCCCCGTGCCTAAATACGCGCCTATCACCTCCCACCGCTGCCCGGTCCCCTTGGGAAACTTCCCCACCGCCTTCCTCAGCAGCTCTATCTCTTCCCTCGTCCACGGCTTCCCACTCCCCCCTGCCGCCCTTCTCGCCTCTCTCTCTTTCTCCGCCTCCGCCTCTCGCTCCGCTGCTGCTGCCGCTGCCGCCGCTGCCGCAGCTTCGGAGAGAACCACGGGGATTTGCTGGTACTCAAAGTCCGGACTGTGCCCGTCCCACCGGTTGACTTTCAGAGCGGTGGAGAACAGTCGGAGGGTTTGCCGCTTCACTGCTGCAGCGTCAGCAGAGGCGGTAGAAGCGGACAAGGATTCTAGCTTTTCGCAGAGCGCTCGCAGCTTCTCCAACTCCAGACCCTGCCCTAGACTCTCCAACTCCTCTTCTGTTATCGGCGTCTCCCACTCCTCTCCCTTCTGCTTCTCCTGCTGCTGCTGTTTTCTTTGCTTGCTGGTTACCGCAGGCGCGGCTTCAAGGCAATCCGTTGTCGCCGCTCTCAGCCTCGCCCGCTCTTTCCTCGCTGCCTTCTTGTCCTTCTCCCTCTGCTTCTTAACCACTGCTGCCTCCTCCGCTGCCCGCTTCTCCTCCTCCTCCTTTCTCTTCCTCTCCTCCTCCACCTTCCTCTTCCCCTCATCCTCCTTCGCCTGCCTCTCCCGCTGCTTCTCCTCCTTCTTCCGCTGCTTTGCCATTTTCTCCTCCTCCTTCCTCCTCAGAATCCGCGGGTCCTGCTTATAAGCATTCTCCGCCAACTGCCTTATCCTCGCACTCTCCTCCTTCTTCGCTTTCTCCCTAAGCTTCGCATTCTGCCGCTCCATCCACCTCCTGTGCTCCCGATCCTCCGCACTCTCCACGTCATAATCATCCTCGTTAGGAAACTCTCTCCAGCTCTTAAACGCCCACCAGAAATCGTAAAACTTATCCACCTCGGCAACCGGCGTGTTCTCATCCCCTAAACCCGGAACCTCGGTTGGGCTAATCACCGACCACTTGGCATTCCGCTGGAAAGCAGGCCCGAAAATCTTAAAGAAATTCTCGGGGGAGCAATCACCCGGAATATCATCGTCAAATTCATCTGTAGAGTCGTACACTCGGCGCTTGGCCGGGTCTGAGAGGACCTCGTAGGCCAGCTGGATCGCCTTGAACTTGGTCTCGATCTCTTCCTTTTTGGCTGCCCGCGCCTCGTCAGTTTGCTCCTCCAGCAGCATTGCAGCCTGCTTGTCCGGGTGGAAGCGCAGAGCTGCATCCCTGGTGTGGCGGGGAAGGGGTGGGGCGATATGCGGTGCGACGCAATGACGGGAGATCGGTTAGAAGCTCAACCGTGCAGGTAGAGGCGTTAAGCGAGGTTAAGGGTTAAGGGGTTGCGAGGTTTAAGGTTACGGGGTTGTGGCGTTCCATGGTCAAGGGCGTTAGGAGGAACAAAAGGATCAGGGAGCGTTAAGGAGTGAGGAGAATTATGTAGAACGAGGCGGAACCGGAGGGGGGAAATGGGGGCGAACGAGAACAAAGTCTTCAGGGGGCAAGGGGGCGAGGCTAGTTCGAATAAGGAGTCGACGGAGATGAGGTCAGGGAAAAGACGGCGGAGAAAATACTCTGGGGTTTTGGAGGAATAAGAGAGCAAGAACGTCTGGTATTTTCCGTTTCTAACAGCTTACTGGATCATCTAACGAGGAAGCGCGGCAGTGTTCGAGACAGATAGAGGTCCCTTAGCGGACAGAGCATGACAGCACGTTAACGGCTGGATTCAGAATCGGTTAATAAGTAACGGCTGGATGAATTTGTGATCGCATCCTCAACCTCATGTGTTTGATCCATGACTCTCACCTCTACGCTCCATCGAACGGGAAACGGCACCCTTACTCCAGGATCTCTCCTTCCCCCTCGCTGTCCCACCAACGCCCAACGAGCCACCCCTTCAAATATCATACATCCCACCTCTCGTAATCTTGAATTTTGCGCTTTGTCTAGAACCTCCCGCACGGCAGTTGCTTTAGAGAGATCTTAAAGCCAACCCTGTAGTCTCCTGGGCTGATCCTTTCTCGCCAGAGACCTCAAAACCCCGAACCCTAGCGACGCGGACTGAGTTTTCCCCGTATTACTGCACACGGCCGCGACCGTACAATACTTGTCACGCATCTGTTGCTCTCACCCAGCTCGCCTCAGCGCTCTCATATAAAGGTTTCTATGACCTCTTTTGAGGCGCCTCAAAAGCCAGCTCGCTTCAATGCTCTCGAATTAAGGTTTATTATATGATCTCACTCACCGATAGGCCTTCTTGAGCCGATGCGCCGTCGCGAGATGCCGCAGGTGCGCCAGTCCCAGCAGCGCGTACCAAGCCGTTTCATATCTCACTGAACCACTCTCAACGTTTCTCGTTTCCGTAATCGCACTCACCGGTACGCCTTCTTGAGCTGATCCTTCGTCGCGAGATGTCGCAGGCGAGTCAACCCAGCAACGCGAACCAAGCCGTTGTATCTCACTGAACCATTCTGTTCGTTTCGGTGCGGGCACTCACCGGTACGCTGATCTTCGTAAGTTGATCTTCTGTCGCCAGATGCCGCAGGTGCGCCAACCAGCAGTGCGTACTGAGACCTTCCGTATCTCTCCACTTTTTCCCTCCAACTTACAGAATCGATCACGACATGCGTCCGTAATCGCACTCACCGGTACGCCTCCTTAAGCTGGTCGTCTGTCGCCAAGAAACGCAGGTGCGCCATGCCCAGCAGAGAGTAGTGAACCGTTCCGTATCTCTCCAGGTTCTCTCTCCACTCACCGGTACGCCTTCTTAAGCTGGTCTTCTGTAGCCAAGAAACGCAGGTGCGCCATGCCCAGCAGAGCGTAGTGGTCCTGCTCCTGCTTCTCCGCGTCCTTCCCATCCTTCCCCTTCTTCTTCTTCCGCGAACTTTCCCACGCCGACGAATCGACTGAGTCCTTCACCTTCTCGCCCTTCCCCTCGTCCGCCTCCTCCGCATCTTCCTCCCCCGCCGCGTGGAATCCCGCCAATCGCTTCGCAGCTTCGTGGAAGGAGAGCCCTGCCGGCTCGTATCGAGTGTACTTATAAAGAGGCGCTGGGCTGCTCACTACGAGCGGATCGCCGCCGGGCGGCAGGTCGTGTGGGTGGTAGGTGATTAAAAGGCGCGTCGTTGTAACGGAGACCGCGGCGACTGTGGCGCCGCTGGCGCTTGTAGGCGGGGGCATGGTGACGAATCAGATCCGATCAGGATCGAATCGAACCTCGAGGGTCAATCTGCGAAAATCGATTCCTAGGGCCGAATCTGCAAAAAGAAAGAAAGACGATATTGATCTCGATCCGCAAAAGAGCGAATACTCGTGCGCCGCGCCCGCTGACGCGTGCCGGTTCGTGCGGCAAGGCGGTGGCGGATCAAAGGCCACGATTCAAAAATCGGGCTGATCAGCAGCAAGTAGAAAGGATAAACAGAGAGATGGGAGGTACCAAGTGCGAGTGATAAGAGTTGATCAAGTAAAGTTGGGGCCACGATTTGAGCCACACACCAGTGGGGGCAAGTTTGAAGCTGCTGTGCGCTAATCCCCAGCTGAGGTTTTGGTGGGAGGTTGAGGAAGAGGGTTGAGGGGTTGCGTTTGTGGGTGCGAGGGGCCGAGTTTCCTAGCCCTTGGTTTTGCCGAGCCGACGCCTGGTGATTGGCTGTTCGGATTGTCGCTTGTATGAGCTGGAGCAATTTCTGGGCAAAGAATTGGATTTCGGTGACTCGTAGCTTCAGAAATCAAACAGGTGTACTTGTGCAAGTCAGCCCTGGGCCCTACAATCGAGTACAGGTTGTGGCTACCAAATTCGCTCGGTTCAGCCGCCAGGGTTACACTTCGCTTTCGCCAAACTACCCAAAAGTTCATATTTCCAGGCTGCAAGGGGAAGAACAGGAACAAGGAGCATCCAGATAATTCTCTCGTACGCACGGATCTTGGAAACGAAACTAGTCCCTGATCAGCCTTGTTCATTTGGTCCTGGTGCCTTGGTCGGGTCGGGACTGACCAGCCATTTAGGGGCTTGCTAGTTGTCACGGCGTAGTCCGAGCCGACGACCTAGTCCGACGCGCTAGTGCCGATGCGGTTCTAAATCTAAGGAGAAACAAAAAGGTAAACCTGACGACGACATTTGAGCTTGATGTTTTGGTGTACTGGTGGTTTCCAGCTACTAGTTCTGAGCTTCGGATTGCCTGGTTTTCCTGGCCGAGCGAGCCGATGATCAATTCGCCTAAGAATCGCACCGCTTTGTCTAACATTCGCGTCCGTTCGCAATCAGGAGCCTCAATATCAACGTCGCTTTACGCTCGCCTTGCGATCAGTCATAAACAATTTTGGGATCTCAGCGCCAAGTAACTGTCAACAAGAGGGTTAATTCAGAAATTAAACCCAGTCTCAGTCAGACCTAACGCAGCCAGCACGTAACGGTCATCTGCAGCCATGGAGACTCGGATCTTCGGCATTCAGGACGCATGGCGGGAATTTACCGTCCCTCACGCGACGCGAACCACTCCGAGTGCGAGCTCAGCCCAAAGCCCTACCGTAGCATTGCATCCCGACGCGCTGACGTGTCTTGGCGGGGGGTCGGTGCTTCAGACTCGAGGAGAAGATTCCGTTCAACCAAGTCAACGCTTGCTGACGTGGCAGATCCGATCCGATATCCGCCAATCGCACTCCGTCCTTGTTTTGAAAGAGCTCTTTCCGAATTCGTCCTTCCCCGCGTCTAAGCCCGCTCCGCTCGTTACAGGAACATCCGCGGCTGCTGTCGCTCGCCAGTTCTCTCAACGGCAGGGATCGCACGAGGTGCATCTACGGTTCCCGGCGCTTCTTCTCCCGCTCGCAGCCTTTGTCGTCGAGCGTAACCTCGAGATTGCCGACGACGGTGATTTTAGCGAGGATGCCTATAACGATGATGACGACGATGAGGAGGATGGCGAGGGGTTCGAATCGGGATTCTCTCGCGCGTCGCTGTATCTGCTGTCCGCAGATGGCGTGATCTACTCCGTAGACCTAGGGTTTGGGGGGCTTGACAGCAACAGTAGCGCATTGAACGGCGTAAACGGCTTAGGGTTTCGCCTAGACGGTGCTTCCAGGTTCGACACTAGGCTTGGCGGTGGTACGGGAACAAAACCGTCCGAACCTTCCCTCCTTGGTAACTTCTCCCTCAGCTGTTTGCGCTCGTTTCAGCTCCCGCCCAACCTCGTCTCTAGGCTCGGCAATGGCGTGACGTCACTAGCAGCCGGCCTGGACACGGTTTGCCTCGGCGGAGGTTCGGGTAGCGTTCTCGCCATTCCGTTCCACAAACTCGCCAACCCTGTTGTGCCAGTAACGGGTGGCGCTATAAAGAGGGAAGCGTCTGGCGGAGCGGGGGTGGCGGAGTTGCGGGAGGGCGAGGGCGCAATGGCGCGCCTGTGGGGGATGGTAGGCGCAGGCAGGGGCGCGGCTCTCGCCCCTGTGCGTTCCATTCAGCTGCTGACGCGTGGCGGGCAGGGATTGGCTGCGGTTGCGCATGGAGATGGAGTGGTGAGGGTGTGGGATGTTTCGAGGAAGGTTCGCTTGGCGACGGTGACGGTGGCGGCGGAGTGGGGGGCGGGCGGAGCGGCGGCTGCTGCGGGCGCGGGTCAGGCTGGGGGGAGTCGTGACGGTGAGTTGCGTGACGCTTAGAGCTGTGAAGTCACTCTCTCACAACCCCCACTCTCTAATTACTCCCCCCCCCCTCTCCCTCTCCCCCTCTTCCCCTCTCCCGTCTGCTCTTCCCCTCCCGCTCTCCCTTACCTCCCCCCCTCCAGGCGCATGGGCCGTCCAGCAGATCCTCCTGCGCCCCGCGCCTGGCCCCACTCGCTCCGCCAACCCCCCCTCCGCCACCAGCGCAGCTGCCGCCACCCAGTCTCTACTAGTCATCACCACTTGGTGCCCCCAGCAGCAGCAGCAGCACGCGGATCTACCTTCCGCCCCTGCTGGTCTCATCACTGTTCACTCCCTCCGCCTCCGCGTTCCCCCTGACCCCGCGCGCGCCTCCGCCTCCGCGTCCGCCTCCGCCTCGCTCCGCCTGGCCGCCTGGAGCGCGCTGCCCCGCGCGCCCACGGCGCGCAGCTGTGACTATGGCGCGTGGGACGGGGACAGCAGAGGGGAAGGGGGCGAGAGGGGTGGGGGCGTGAGGGGGGAGGGCGGGGCAAGGCCAGCAGCGGGCGGCCAGGGGGAGGGTGAGCGCGAGCAGCAGGCGGGGGAGCGAGCGGGGGATGAGGGGGAAGGGGAGGGTCAGGGGTTGTGGATTAGAGACGTTCGCGTGCTGCTCGCTGCAGGTGCTGGTGGTGGTGGTGGTGGGGGCCGGAGGGGCAGAGGGGGCGGAGAAGGGGCGGGCAGTGGGAAGGAGGTGGACGTGTGGATGCTGCTGCAGGAAGGGCGTGCGCGTGAAGGCACAGGCACAGGCACAGGCACAGGCACAGGCACAGGCACAGGCACAGGCACAGGCACAGGCACAGGCACAGGCACAGGCACAGGCACAGGCACAGGCACAGGCACAGGCACAGTCACAGGCACAGTCACAGGCACAGTCACAGGCACAGTCACAGGCACAGGCACAGGCACAGGCACAGGCACAGGCACAGGCACAGGCACAGGCACAGGCACAGGCACAGGCACAGGCACAGGCACAGGCACAGGCACAGGCACAGGCACAGGCACAGGCACAGGCACAGGCACAGGCACAGGCACAGGCACAGGCACAGGCACAGGCACAGGCACAGGCACAGGCACAGGCACAGGCACAGGCACAGGCACAGGCACAGGCACAGGCACAGGCACAGGCACAGGCACAGGCACAGGCACAGGCACAGGCACAGGCACAGGCACAGGCACAGGCACAGGCACAGGCACAGGCACAGGCACAGGCACAGGCACAGGCACAGTCACAGGCACAGTCACAGGCACAGGCACAGTCACAGGCACAGGCACAGGCACAGGCACAGGCACAGGCACAGGCACAGGCACAGGCACAGGCACAGGCACAGTCACAGGCACAGTCACAGGCACAGTCACAGGCACAGTCACAGGCACAGGCACAGTCACAGGCACAGTCACAGGCACAGGCACAGTCACAGGCACAGTCCCATCAGTCCTATCAGGCGCATCAGGCACATCAGGGAAGCACCACACGGTCTGCCTGCCTGTGCGCCGTGTGCCGTTCGACAGCGGTGGCACCGCCACTGGCACTGCACCACGGGACGCAGCAGCTGCTGCTGCAGCAGCGGCGGCGGCGGCGGTGGCGGCATCTTCGCAGCAACTTCTTCCCCTTCCTCCGTCCCCGCTGTACGCACCAATCATCTCCTGCCAGCTGGCGGAGCAGCAGCTATCAGCGTCACTGGGCCTCTCAGACTCGACTCTCCACCAGTTCGTCTCCCCTCCCCCTGTACCCGCCTCGTCAGCCAGCGGGTCAGCAGGAGCAGCTGCTTCTACACCTGCTACAGCCACTACAGCTGTGACAGCCAGTGCGTTTGCTGATATGGGCGACAGCAGCAGAGCGAGCCTGGTGTCGGCCTTGGGCGTCGTTCCCTTCCTTGAGCTCTCCCCCGCCCTCTGCCCTCCTCCCAGCGCATCCCCAGCAGGGGAAGGAGACGGCGGCTCAGTGACAGCAGGAGCAGCAGCAGGAGGAGCAGGGGGAGGAGCAGCAGGGGCAGGTGCTGGAGTGAATTGGAGCGCTGTAACTGAGTTTTGTGCCGACGCTCTCGTTGCTCGTCTGCTCTGCCCGTCCGCAATGCTCGAGCCTGCGCTAGCCCATCTGCTCGCTTGGTTACAGCACCACCACCGGCACTACCACCACCAGCACCAGCAGAACCAGCAACAGCAGCACGACCTGGAGTTTTTCCCCTATGGCAGCCAACGGAATGGGACGTTCGGATCGCCCAAGCCTGAAGATGTGGCTCGGATGAGCCATGATGCGGTTCGGCAGGTTCTCCTCTCCTACCTCTTGGACCGCCGTCCGGACCTGCAGGTGCTGCCGAGCCTCCTGGGCAGCTCCGGGGGCGAAGCTGCCGATCTGGTTCGGCTGGTGGATCGGTGGGAGCACTTGGCAAAGCAATACCTCCGAGCCTGGACTGCCGTAAACACACCCGTTGGGCTGATTGCAACGGCCGGTTCAGGCCCAAGCTCAGGGGCAGGTTCGGGTACCGGGGCTGTCGGTCTGGTTCGGGGATGCACAG